TGGAACATTCAAAGGCAAAATGTCAGCGTTTGTTGAATGTCGCAGCCGGTGACGAGTTCTCTTCCTGTGATAAGTGGCAGCGCAGGCCGGAGAAGGGCCATTCCGGGGGTGACAAGTGTCAGTCTTCCCTCACCACCTCCCATGTTCTACATACTACAATGTCACTCAGTCTCTGATCACTTCATTCCATGCACAGAAGGACAACCTCCCCTCTACTCCTTCTATGCCAAACATCAAGTCCGGCAAAGGTGGAGGGAACGCTGGGCCCTAAAGTCTGCACGTTATCAATGGCGCTATGGAGGTTTCAAGCAGCCAACAGCGGTGACAACGTTACAATTATCAGATGATTCTCCGAACAAAGAAACATTTGTTGTTGTTTTTTTCTCAGAGAAATATTTCTTTGTTTGTACATTCATCTGATAATTGTAACGTTGTCACCGCTGGAAATGTGTTACAAAGTTTTATTTCAGAGGTCTTAGGTCTCCTATAGAGGGATTCTCTCATCCCGGGGCTCCTATAGAAGGGATTCTCTGATATCTGGGCTCCTATGGGGGGATTCTCTGATCTCAGGTCTCCTATAGAGGGGATTCTCTGATCTCGGGGCTCCTATAGAGGGGATTCTCTGATCCCGGGGCTCCTATAGAGGGATTATCTGATCTCGGGGCTCCTATAGATGGGATTCCCTGATCTTGGGGCTCCTATAGAGGGATTCTCTGATATCGGGGCTCCTATAGGGGGGATTCTCTGATCTCAGGTCTCCTATAGATGGGATTCTCTGATCTCAGGTCTCCTATAGAGGGGATTCTCTGATCTCGGGGCTCCTATAGAGGGGATTCTCTGATCCCGGGGCTCCTATAGAGGGATTATCTGATCTCGGGGCTCCTATAGATGGGATTCCCTGATCTTGGGGCTCCTATAGAGGGATTCTCTGATATCGGGGCTCCTATAGGGGGGATTCTCTGATCTCAGGTCTCCTATAGATGGGATTCTCTGATCTCAGGTCTCCTATAGAGGGGATTCTCTGATCTCGGGGCTCCTATAGAGGGGATTCTCTGATCCCGGGGCTCCTATAGAGGGATTATCTGATCTCGGGGCTCCTATAGATGGGATTCCCTGATCTTGGGGCTCCTATAGAGGGATTCTCTGATATCGGGGCTCCTATAGGGGGGATTCTCTGATCTCAGGTCTCCTATAGATGGGATTCTCTGATCTCAGGTCTCCTATAGAGGGGATTCTCTGATCTCGGGGCTCCTATAGAGGGGATTCTCTGATCCCGGGGCTCCTATAGAGGGATTATCTGATCTCGGGGCTCCTATAGATGGGATTCCCTGATCTTGGGGCTCCTATAGAGGGATTCTCTGATATCGGGGCTCCTATAGGGGGGATTCTCTGATCTCAGGTCTCCTATAGATGGGATTCTCTGATCTCAGGTCTCCTATAGAGGGGATTCTCTGATCTCGGGGCTCCTATAGAGGGATTCTCTGATCCCGGGGCTCCTATAGAGGGATTCTCTGATATCGGGGCTCCTATAGAGGGGATTCTCTGATCTCAGGGCTCCTGTAGATGGGATTCTCTGATCTCAGGTCTCCTATAGAGGGGATTCTCTGATCTCGGGGCTCCTATAGAGGGATTCTCTGATCTCGGGGCTCCTATATATGGGATTCTCTGATCTCAGGGCTCCTATAGAGGGGATTCTCTGATCTCGGGTCTCCTATAGAGGGATTCTCTGATCTCGGGGCTCCTATAGAGGGGATTCTCTGATCCCGGGGCTCCTATAGAAGGGATTCTCTGATCTCAGGTCTCCTATAGAGGGATTCTCTGATCTCAGGTCTCCTATAGAGGGGATTCTCTGATCTCAGGTCTCCTATAGAGGGGATTCTCTGATCTCAGGTCTCCTATAGAGGGGATTCTCTGATCTCAGGTCTCCTATAGAGGGGATTCTCTGATCTCAGGTCTCCTATAGAGGGGATTATCTGATCTCAGGGCTCCTATAGAGGGGATTCTCTGATCTCAGGTCTCCTATAGAGGGGATTCTCTGATCTCAGGGCTCCTATAGAGGGGATTCTCTGATTTATATCTGAGATTCTTCTTTTCCTGAGAGATATTTGGTGATTTGTGTTTTGTTCCACACTCGGTATACAGGGGGAAGGGGGGTGGGGTCTTAGTGTTTTATTATCAGAGAGTAGATCCTTCTTGTACACTTTTTGATTAACATGTACTTTATGTATAGCACAAAATGTATAACACTGTGTAAGATGTACAGAGAGGAAGAAGAGAGACTCTGGCACTGTGTAAGATGTACAGAGAGGAAGAAGAGAGACTCTGGCACTGTGTATTGTATATGAAGAGTGTGGCACTATGTAAGACACAGAGGATGAGGATGGGAGGGATGGGGATAGAAGGCAGATCACTCTGGCACCGTATAGGGGACATGGGGACCAGGGCACTGTGTAAGACACGGAAGATGGGAAGGATGAGGGAGGAGGAGGAGATGTGATGGAGGGAGGATGGAAGGAGGAGGAGAGAGGGAGGGAGGCAGCCGCTCACAGACATCACACACAGTCCTCTCTCCTCTATACACAGTGCCAGGCTGTGTGCCCCTGTGCTGGTGCCAGGCTATGGACATGTAGCAGAGGGTGGGGGGGCAGCCAGTCAGTCAGTGTCTGTGCTCTCTGTGCTGTCAGAATGGGGGTCGCCCCCTGCTGGAGGTGGCTACTTGCCCTGGGTCTCAGGCTGCTGTTTCTTGTGCCCGCAGGAGTGCCAGTCCGCAGCGGGGATGCTGGATTTTCCAAAGCCATGGACAACGTGACGGTGCGGCAAGGAGAGAGCGCCATCCTCAGGTAGGAGCTCCTATTACTTGTCGGGTCGGGGGGCGTGTGTGTACTGTGATCGGATCGGGGTTGCCGTTCAGACTGACGGTCAGGAATTGTAGTACGATGTGTATTCCGGGTGCTGGAGGAGAATCCCTTGTATACCATGTGTAGCACTACAAGTCCCGGCATGCATGTCAGTTGGTATTGGAGGTGGGCAGCGTGTTATTGTGCCGATCGGAGAGAATTCGGCTCTTCTCCGACTTCTACTCACTTTTGGAGAGATGGTGCCAGCAGGGGGCGCACTGAGGCCAATGCCAACCCCACCAGCAGGGGACACACTGAGGGCAATGCCCACCCCACCAGCAGGGGACACACTGAGGGCAATGCCCACCCCACCAGCAGGGGGCGCACTGAGGCCAATGCCAACCCCACCAGCAGGGGACACACTGAGGGCAATGCCCACCCCACCAGCAGGGGACACACTGAGGGCAATGCCCACCCCACCAGCAGGGGGCGCACTGAGGGCAATGCCCACCCCACCAGCAGGGGGCGCACTGAGGGCAATGCCCATCCCACCAGCAGGGGGCACACTGAGGGCAATGCCCACCCCACCAGCAGGGGGCGCACTGAGGGCAATGCCCACCCCACCAGCAGGGGGCGCACTGAGGGCAATGCCAACCCCACCAGCAGGGGGTGCACGGAGGGCAATGCCAACCCCACCAGTAGGGGGGCACACTGAGGGCAATGCCAGCTCCACCAGCAGGGGGCGCACTGAGCGCAACTCCAACTCAGCTAGGAGCCTGTGCACTGAGGATAATGCATGCACCATCAACAGGGGGCACACTGACAGCAATGCCACTTTTATCAGCAGGGGACCCACTGAGGGCAATATCAGCTTCACCAGGAGGGGGTGCACCAAGAGCAATCCCTTTTCCACTAGCAGCATCCTAAAAATGGCCCCTCCACAACCCTAATCACCTCCCTTACCTCCTTTCCTATTATCTCCCCTCCCCTCCTCTCCCTATGCCCCTGTCTCCTTCTATCCTCTCCTCCTATCTTTCCACTCTACTCTTCATCCTTCCTCTAATCTATGCTCCTCCTCTTCCTCTTCTTTGTCTCCTCCTCTCCCCCTCCCCACCCCCTTCCTTACCAGTCTTTCCGCTTCTCCCCCTCTCTCCTCTGCTGCTCCTCTACTTTCCCTTGCTCTCCTCCCCTCCTCTTACATTTCTCTCTTCCCACTTTACTCCTTTACCCTCCTCTGTTCCCCACTCTCCTCTAATCTCCTCTCCCATCTTCTCTTCACCAGTTTTCCCCTCTAAACCCTTCCTCTCACCTTCCCTCCTCTATTGTCCTTCCTCTCCGATTCTTTGTACTCCTCATCTCTCTTCTATCCTCATCTCTCTCCCTTCCTTTACTCTCATGTCCTCTCCTCCCTTCCTTGAATTTCCTTTCCTCCCTTCCTCAACTTCCCTTCCCTCTCCTCCCTTCCTCAACTTTCCTTTCCTCTCCTCCCTTCCTCTACTCTAATGTCCTCTCCTCTCTTCCTCTACCCTCCTGTCTTCTCCCTTCACCTACTTCCCTTTCCTTTCCTCCCTTCCTCAACTTCCCTTTCCTTTCCTTCCTTCCTCAACTTTCCTTTCCTCCCTTCCTCAACTTCCCTTTCCTTTCCTCTCCTCCCTTTCTCTACTCTCCTGTCCTCTCCTCCATTCCTCGACTTCCCTTTCCTTTTCTTCCTCTACTCTCCTGTCCTCTCCTCCCTTCCTCTACTCTCCTGTCCTCTCCTCCCTTCCTCTACTCTCCTGTCCTCTCCTCCCTTCCTCTACTCTCCTGTCCTCTCCTCCCTTCCTCTACTCTCCTGTCCTCTCCTCCCTTCCTCTACTCTCCTGTCCTCTCCTCCCTTCCTCTACTCTCCTGTCCTCTCCTCCCTTCCTCTACTCTCCTGTCCTCTCCTCCCTTCCTCTACTCTCCTGTCCTCTCCTCCCTTCCTCTACTCTCCTGTCCTCTCCTCCCTTCCTCTACTCTCCTGTCCTCTCCTCCCTTCCTCTACTCTCCTGTCCTCTCCTCCCTTCCTCTACTCTCCTGTCCTCTCCTCCCTTCCTCTACTCTCCTGTCCTCTCCTCCCTTCCTCTACTCTCCTGTCCTCTCCTCTCCTCCCTTCCTCTTCTCTCCTGTCCTCTCCTCCCTTCCTCTACTCTCCTGTCCTCTCCTCCCTTCTTCTCCCCACTTATATCTCATGCTCTCCCCTCCTCCAATTTTCTCCCACTCCTGTCCTCTTTGTGTATGGTCAGAAAATAATTGGGCCCCTCAATACAACTTATTTCTCCTCCCAGGGCCACTGTAAATCAGTAAATCCTTTCTATGATCCCCTTGCACAGTGACTATCCCTCTGTCCCACCAGGGTGAGGAAGGACTGCAGAGCATTGCACAGTGACTATCCCTCTGTCCCACCAGGGTGAGGAAGGACTGCAGAGCATTGCACAGTGACTATCCCTCTGTCCCACCAGGGTGAGGAAGGACTGCAGAGCATTGCACAGTGACTAGCCCTCTGTCCCACCAGGGTGAGGAAGGACTGCAGAGCATTGCACAGTGACTATCCCTCTGTCCCACCAGGGTGAGGAAGGACTGCAGAGCATTGCACAGTGACTAGCCCTCTGTCCCACCAGGGTGAGGAAGGACTGCAGAGCATTGCACAGTGACTAGCCCTCTGTCCCACCAGGGTGAGGAAGGACTGCAGAGCATTGCACAGTGACTATCCCTCTGTCCCACCAGGGACAGGAAGGACTGCAGAGCATTGCACCGCCTGGCAGTTGTGAGCTATCTTGGCCGTGTTCTATGATTAGAGGCAATCTATTATATAGATGTTGCTCATTATAATATTCATCCAGAAGGAGACACGGCTTTTCCTCGTGCGGCGTTTTAATAACTTGGCTGCCACAACGCGACTTCTTTATCACGGTGCGATTATCAGACATTAGGACGTTTATGGAAGGCCCGTCACTTCTCCTCATGCTGAATGGCGCTGCTCTCCGGGAGCGTGTGATTGCGAATCCCCACAGCAGGCGCCCGCCATTCATGAAACGCCTGAGAGCGGATTACATGGCCCCTCACTGGGGGGATCGGGGGGGATAGGAATACAAATCAGAGGCTCTGCTCCCCTAATACAGTGATAGAAATTGGGGGCTCTGCTCCCCTAATACAGGAATATAAATTGGGGGCTCGGCTCCCCTAATACAGGAATATAAATTGGGGGCTCTGCTCCCCTAATACAGGAATATAAATTGGGGGCTCGGCTCCCCTAATACAGGAATACAAATTGGGGGCTCGGCTCCCCTAATACAGGAATACAAATTGGGGGCTCTGCTCCCCTAATACAGGAATATAAATTGGGGGCTCTCTCTGCACCCCTAGTATTATGGAGGAAGCTCCGGGTGGTTATAAGTCCTTTCTATAGACGGTTTCATCCATCGGTGTCTCAAAGTCTTTTGGGGCTTTTTTTTTAATCTGCAGATTTTTGACACTTCCTGTTATAGGGTGACAACGCTCTGTCCTGGTTCAGACACTTCCTGTTATAGGGTGACAATGCTCTGTCCTTGTTCAGACACTTCCTGTTATAGGGTGACAACACTCTGTCCTGGTTCAGACACTTCCTGTTATAGGGTGGCAATGCTCTGTCCTGGTTCAGACACTTCCTGTATAGGGTGACAACGCTCTGTCCTTGTTCAGACACTTCCTGTTATAGGGTGACAATGCTCTGTCCTTGTTCAGACACTTCCTGTTATAGGGTGACAATGCTCTTTACCTGTCTCTCAATTGTCCTAATGCATTGTTGCCTCGTCACACAGGCTTCCATTGCGGACTACATGTGGCTGTTTCTACACACATTACACAGACATAGTCCACTGTTGTCACCATAAGGAAACCCGCCCTGAGAAATGCCGCGCAGTGAATGTAGACGGGTAGTGGCCGCAAAGAGGCTGCAGGAGATCAGCATCACTGAGATGTAAAGGAGGAAAAAAAAGTATTTTCTAAAACAAAGAACCAAAGCGACATGTTTCATGTATTTGGGAATGTTGTGGATTGGTTTATGGTTGTGTCATTGTGTGTTACTGACCAGAATTTGGGAGGTGGAGTAACACCGGGAGATGTCGGGTAGAGTTGATGGAAAGTTTGTGTCATTGTTGGTTTCCATTACTTTGTAGACTTTGAGGCGCAAAAATGTGTTTTGGTTCATTTCAGATTTTCCGTTATTGGGATTTGGGTCAGAAAGTCAATTTGTGAAATTATATTTACGATGTGACATGTTTACTTTGTACAGTCCACAGAAGCATAAAAAAGTGTGCCCCCCCTTCTCCCCCCTCACCCCCTTCTCCCTTGCTCTGCCAGGCTGCTGCTTGGATGAAGGGTCTGGTAAGGGATTTTAGGGGGGACCTCATGCTTATAATTCCTATCAGTTAAACACTTAAAAAAATATATTCTTTCATATTATTTAAAATTTAATATTGTTTAACATAAATTAATTCAGAACGACATTCCGAAAAATTCAGATGCATCCAAAATTGTCATTATTGGGAAATTCGGATATGTTTGGAATTGTTATTTTATAATTCGGAAACTGAGGCGCTTCCGAATGTCCCGAAATTCGTCTGAAAATGTTATTTTGTGTCGCAGTCTCGGAGGCCCCGGAAGTTTTCGGCGGCCTGTTGCCTCTTCGATTGTGTTTTTTTCCTACAATCGGCATTTCCCGGCGATGGATTCATAATTGGCGTTTAACCTACAAAGCGCCCGTCGGGTCATGTGACTTGCGGCTGACACGGGGGGCTCCCGCATTAATTGGACTCTTTTTTTTCTCTCCGGGGGACTTCCGGCCGGTCTCAGCAATCACCTGTCTCCACCGCGTCACCGCAGAAAAACAAAAGTGTTGGTTTTTTTCTCTTTCTGCTTTTCTCTTAAATCTCACACTTTCCAGAAGCAGATAAATGCAATTACGGCTTTCCCTGCGGGCGCGGCGGCGGCGGCGGCGGAGAGAT